GGCTCCCGCCAGATAGGAGTACGTCACAGGAGGCCCACTGGCCACCTGCAGAGAGCAGAGTCCACTGACCTTGTCAGGCCAGCCTCACTCTGTCCCATGCAGGGCTGGCCTCTGGCCTCTGAGCACTCGGACCCGGCTAGTTCCAGGACATGTGCAACATGATCCAGCGGTCTGAAGGTTCAGAGAGGCCTCACTGCCTGCCTGGGAGGGAAGCAAGATACTCCCGTTGTGCAGAGGGGAAAACTAAGGCTCAGAGAGGTTACATGACTTTTAGCCATGCATCCGCTTTCATTCATTCACTCATTCATTTGATTCGGTGAGATGATACTGAGGAGCCTGTCCTGGGTGAGGCTCAGGACTGGAGCAGGCAGCAGTCGGTGACTCTGATGTCCACACCGTCACAGAATCGGGACAGGCTGCACACCAGACACTTGGGTGGCGCCTGGCTCAATGCTCTGCTATTGCCATCTTGAACGTCTCAATGATTTTTAAACAAAAATGTTCTTTCCATTTTGCACTGGGCCCTGCAAACTCATATGACTGGTGGAGTTAAGAGTTAAGAGGGTCAGGAAACCAAACAAACAGCTCCCAGCAGACGAATAGATGGGAAAGGGAGTCAGAGAAGAGGAGGTTAATGATGAGGGGGCCAAGGGGGGTTGACTGACCCAATTTAGACCTTCAGGCCTGGATTTCCTGAGGGCTGATGTCTGAAGGATGAGTAGAAATTGGCAAAGATGAGGTGAAAATTCAGTTTCCTTAACTACAAAACGGAGATGGCTCAGGACCAACCACTGCAAAGTTTCTTTCCATTTACGCATGCATTCCACCCCTCCATTGGTTCGCCCAGCCAATATCCTTGGAGCACCTGCTCCTAGCAAGCGCTTAGCAGGCGTCACATACACCCCTGCCCTAGGACACACGTGTTCTAGCCGGGAGATGAATGTTAAGACAACTGATTACACAGCCGATCATTTATCTATTCCTGGGGCTCGTGTGGGGAAGGCGTATGGGGCGCTAAGGAGGCACGAGATGGGTGCTGGGCTGGACTCGGGGAGCAGAGTTCTCAGCTCCGCCCAGAGCCAGGCATGGGAGAGGCGCTGGGAGAATTCAGGCTGACACAGTGTGGCTCTGAGGCCATTCAGCTGTGGGCACGGGCACAGCGGTCAGCTGTGGGCCCTGCTGATTTCAGAAGGCACAATGCCAGCAGACACCTAGCTATGCCCTGGTCCCAGGGGCAAGGGGTGGGCCTTGGGAGGAGCTGGCCCAAGGAAGGAGAGGGCAAAAGAGCAATAAAAAGTTTAATCAAAGGGAGGGAGGCAGCTTTTGCAGGGAGGGAGGAAGGCAGGCTGGCCTCGCTGACTAGCTACTCACTGTGTGCCTGCGACTTCCATTGCATGTGTCCCTCACCTTCATAGCCCTCTAAGCAAGTGCCTCTGTGTCACAGTAGAGGGAACTAAGTCTCAGACGGGCTCAGCAACCTTCCAAAGTCACACATGGAGTTGGAAAGAGAATCCAGTCTCTTGACTCCCAGAGTAAACTCTGCTGCCTCCACTCACCTCCTCCTCTGACCAAAAATCTGCCCAGCCATTTCACAATCCACCAGAGAAATTTCTCTCCAGCCCTAGAACCAGAAATGTTTATGCCTCTCCCAAGCAGTGGGTTTGCTTTTTCTCATGGGTCTTAAAGTTGATCTTTTTTCCTTCTTTCCATTGGCCACTAGGAGGCCCAGGGTCAACTCTTGGCCCATCTCAACACAGACTTTATGTCATAATGTCACTTCTGGTGAACATTACTCATCTACCTTGGTTTTATTTTGTTTGGTTTGGTTTTCTTTTTAACTACTTTTTAGTATGGTTTGGCTCACTCTATTATACAGCTTCATTAAGCCATCTTAAACCCCTTCAGCATCCTCTCTGTTTCACCCTTCCCTCTCTGCAGAAAGCCATTCTCTGGCTCCTCATGCATAAGGACCGGGTGAAGCTGTCCCCACTCTCCCTTCCCACCCCCTTTCCCACCACAAGCTTCCACCACACTCTGACCAGCACCCCGGAATCCAAACGCTAGTTTCCCAGGAAAGAGAAGGTTATTGGGCCAGCTTGGTCCATGCAGCTGTGGCCATGGGCTGGGTCAGTCACACAGCAGAAACCTGGCAGCAGGAGGCCATCACGGCAGGGTCATTCCCAAACTCCTCCTCCTGGCATTCAAGGCACCTTAGGACCTGTGTGCAGCCTGCGCTCCCTGATCCTAGCTGTCCTCACTCCCCAGCCACACGGGACATCTTGCTGGCCCTCTCACTGCTCTGAAAACTCCCTCCACTGCCACCTCCGAGCTTTCCCCCAGGCTGGGTCCTCCCTGCAGGGCCCTGCTTCCAGCCCCATCTGCCTTCCAGCCCCACCGAAAGGCCATCTCCTCTCCGAAGCCTGCTCTGCCCACCCCAGCAGTTCCCACCCTCCCCTTGGCTCCTGTTCCATGCCGCTCGTCCTCCTTCCTGACCCTGCAC